ACTTAACTCCTCTGTCTGGACAATCCCCTAAAGCCGTGTTTCTCCACCTTGGGTCTCTTGAAGTTGGATGGACCAACTGCCAGAATTCCCCAGCCAGCCATTCTTGAGTGGCCAAGATCTTTATCTTTTTTTATTTATTTTATTCATTTGATTTGATTTGTCAGTCGCTTACAAGATAATAGGTATAAGAATAAAGATGAGTATGTGTTGTGGCTCGGATTCCTGAGCCTGCGTTGTTAGAGGAAGAGGACTCGGAAGATGAGGAGGAGGAACTGGGAATGCCTTCCTCCCCAGGACCTTCCTCTTCGGCAATGCCTTCCTCCCTGATAATGCCTCAGGTTTCAGCAGATAACCAAGAGGAACAGCCTGAGATTAATCAGGAGGAGGAACGGCATATCGGAGCAGCCTCTGACAGGGAATCAAGTAGACGAATGTTGGCTTGATCCTAGGCAGCGTCGTAGGAAGGAGTGTGATCAGAGAGTGAGCTGAGTCATTGAGACATACCCCACAGGGGATAAAAGTGGGTGTGTTTTCTCTGGAAGACTTTCTACGGGACAAAGTTTTACTTTTCTTTCAGGCTTGTGTTTTGTTTCTTGTGGTCTGCGTTGGAAGCTTTCGTGATTAATTCTTCTGGTTATCTTTTCGGACTTGGCAGGCAGCGTTTGTTAGAATGCCAAGGACATTATCTGTATAAAGGAATTAACTCTATAAAAGACCGAGTCTTCTTGCCTGCCTGTATTTGTTGGAGTTTGGACTCTTCATCTTTCTTGGAAAGGAGAAAGGTGAGACATAACAAGTATGAATACAGGAAATAGATATGAATAAATGGGGATAAAAGGACAGGGACGGTAGTCACGATTGTGCGCATGGTAGCAGAAATTTTGAGCAGTTTGGAGAACCGGCAAATCCCACCTCTGACTGGCCCCGCCAACCCCATCTATTCTCTGCCTCCCATTGAGTCTCAGCTGATCGGCTGGGTCTTCTTTGGTTGCCCTGCACAGGAGAACAGAGCTGGAAAGCAGGTTAGTGGGGTGGGGAGGGAATGGGGATTTTGCAGTATCCTTCCCCTGCCACGCCCATAGAACCAGTAGTCAAAAAAAAAAATTGAATCCCACCACTGGTCAGAATTTATGATGCTGGCTGGGGAATTCTGGGAGTTGAAGTCAACACATCTTAAAAGCAGCCCAGTTTGAACAATATTGTTCTCGGTGTTTTAGACCAGGGGTCTCCAAACTTTAGCAAGTCTAAGATGTATAGACTTCAACTCCTAGAATACCTCAGCTGGCTGAGGACTTCTGGGAGTTGAAGTCCACAAATCTTAAAGTTGCCAAAATTGGAGAGCCCTCTTTTAGAATTCCATCATGGAGGCTGAAGACATGTATAAAAATGATGCCCAAATGCATCAAGAAAGACATTGTCCAAACTGTTTCCCACTTTGCTTTCATTTATAAAATGAAAATGCTTTCAGTCACCAATCCTAGTCTCGGTGCAGATACATTAGCAACCAACTTTTAGAATTATAGCCTATGAGCATCATACATCACTTAAAATTGTGGTGTGGACTGATTATGATGATAATGGCGATGATGATAATTTAATAAGTTGGTGCACCTCCCGATTCCAAGCAACTCTGGGTGGTGCACAAAGTAAAAAGACAAGAGAAATAACAACATACAGTAACAATAAAGACAATGGAGAGGGAAAAAATGGAAAAATGTACCCACGCTACCAAGGAGTTTCAACCACTCTTAGAAAAACTTAGTTGAAGAGCCAAAATGCCAGTTGGGTGGTAACTGTATGGATCTTGGGTAGAATGTCATTCCAGAGAGTATGGATGAATGCTAGTGTCAGGATTCTGGCAGTTACCCCAATTAAATCATGACTCTCGAGCCAAACTTCCAAAACTTCAAAAGGATTTATTGGGAGTTAACATGTCCGGCACTGCCTGGGTGCAGCCGACTCTGAAAAATATCATTCATTGTCACCCTTGACCCTGGTTTTCCCCTCACCCCCTGGGTGTATTATAATTCATATTCTCCAATGAGACACATCCATAGCCAAGAGCCATCAATCATGCTTTCCAGTTAGAAGTTTGTGTGGCAGAAACTTTGGTCACCTAGTTACTGTCTTTGAAAACATTTATGGAATGCACTTTCAGTTTCCAAGCTGCCACGCTGCTATTTCAAACTACTTTCCGCCTTCCCTTTCTGTTGGCAACTCTAAAAAGACCATAGAAATATTTTATGAGTTGACAGCTAGCTTGGGCTAGAAAGATCCAAGGCTCCACTTGATCAAAACTGTGGAGGTGAGATCCATCTTCAGCCTGTACCAAGAACAACGTGAGTCAGTCTGGTGCAGCAATGAAAAGATCAGGCTAGAAACCAGGAGACTATGAGTTCTAGTCCTGCCTTAAGGACAAAGCCAGCTGGGTGATCCTTTCAAAGAGATGCTCCCTCTCTTTCAGCCCTAGGAAAGTAATGGCAAATCCAAATTCTCAAACCTTACCAAGAAAATCGACTTGAAGAGACCAAAAAGCGAAACAAAACCACGCCACCAAAGATATGGTGTCCATTCTCCAGATTAAGGACATTCCATAACCAGGGCACGTGTATCAAGAATGTGCACTCTCGGAACACTATATAGCAAATTCCTGGTCCATAAAGCATCTTCAAGAGGCCTTCGTTTCTACAACCTGGCTGTTAGGCAGACACAGTGGGGATAATAATCACTTGGTTCTGGTCACCTCATGTTTGGGCTACTGTAGCTCATTGTACATAGTGTCAGGGTTCCCAGTAATAACTCCACAGAAAGAAAAACTCCAAGGCAGACAAGTTCCTCAAAGAACAATTTTATTGGAGAGATCATATTGGCACAAACTGTGAAAACCAACTCCGAAAGTTCCCGCAGTTTTCACCTGATTATAAAAGGGATAGTTTCCCTTTTTCCCAAAACAATCAGTCACATTGTCCAATCAAAGTGATGGCTGGTTGCCTGGATACTGTGCTCCTCCTCTCTCCAGCCACCTGTTGGAATGTCCTTGGTTCCCACAGGAAACTATTTTGTTTTGGCTACAAACCCCCATCTAACTATGTTCTTCCTCCCTGTCTCTTCTTCACACTGTGGCAAATCCTGAAACCTTCCAAATGGCCCCAGCCAGGTTCACTTCAGAGTTGACACGTAGGGCTATCCTTGAAGATCCTCAAGAACAGAAGTCTCCAAACTTGGCAACTTTAAGAGTTATAGACTTCAACTCTAAGAATTCTCCAGCCAGATGATTTTGGGAATTGAAGTCCACAAGTCTTAAAAGTTACCAAGTTTGGGGAATCTGCTTAAGAATCTCAGAATCATCACATTGGACTCTGTCCATCTAGATACCTTTCCATCTCACATGGTGACCCAGCAGATGTATCTAAGAAGACCACAGAAAAGAAGACCAAGACTTCCTTACCTTAATTTTACCACCGCACTACGCCTAGTATGTTGAGGTAGACTGTCCCTGGGCCGTCAGCTGGAACCCGGTCATTAAGACCAGTAATCATTAACAAGGTGCTCCAAGAGAGAGCCAACTGTTGGGTATTACTTTGTCTATTATATTGCACATACTTTAACATGTTGTTTGAGTCTGGCTGGGAGGTAAGTGGTGCCTTGCATAATGTTTTACCTGCCAAATGCACCCACCTTAGCTCAAACAGCTTTTTAAAAATAATCAGGAAAGCTTGGAGAAATGCTAAATATATGTTCATATCTGATGTTTCATGTAACCAAAGTTCATGAGATGTTGATCAAAGACAGAGTAGTGGGAATAGTTAAATTTGCCACACCTGGATTCAGTTTTAATCTTGTGAAGATCGGGTTCTTTTTAGGATTAGATGTCCAGGGGACATTTTAACCTCAGTGCTGTTTATGGAAAAGTACTCACTCACAAGCACTTTGTTCCATAATCTTTCCTCTCTTTCTTCTTATCACATGTGTTTTTTTCTTCAAACACCTTATGACTGAACTTTCTTTGCTCTTCCGAGTTTGGTATTTGAAGCTGTTTCAGCTATGAAGCCTGTCTTGAACTCTTGGTAGTATTTACACATCACAATAAATTGTAGGCTGCTGAGCACATCTGAATTTTTCCATCCTGGTTCTTGAAGGTCGATGAAATACAAGTTTGGGATGTCAGCCAGAAGCAGAGTTGCTGGAGATCAGCCAGGTTGAAAGAAATCAAAGTTTAGAAAAAACAATGGGTTTCCAAGCCAAAACCAAGATTTTGGAACAAAGGTGGTGTTAAAGAAAGCAAGAAGAGGAGGAAAAATATTGTAATTTATCACCAGTGTCCAGCCTTGTAAGTTTGCAAGATCATAACTGTTGGGTAGAGACAATGTATATTCATGTGCACATACTCAGATGTTTCTCACACTAGCAATATCAAGTTCCTCCTACTGGAATTGTGTGGTGTTGCTTACTTTATTTTTGCCAGTTGCTTATGGCGGTGAGGCCGGCTTGTGTGCAGTTTATGGTTGCTTGTGAAATCTGGTGGTTAAAATTGCAAAGCTGAACTCAGGAGGAATTGGCTACAGTTAAGAACTTAGATGCGTCAGATGATTAGTTTTTGAAGGCTAACTGTATAATTCATGGGTGACTGTTTGGCCTTCTGAGTAAGAAAAAACGGGAAACAAAAGAGATCTCTTATTGGAGTAGAGGCAAAATAAGACTCTGTGTTCAGACAGAGTCAGTGCGAGAACAGATAATCTAACTGAAAGTACTATACAATGTTCTCTACTAGAACAAATGTAGCTTATGTGGAAAATGAATGCATTATGTGCTTCAGCCAAAACAATTGAATAGAAAGAGAAAATTGATTTCTGCAATGCACCAAGAGCATTTTTTCGTGTGTGTCAAATCCACAACTTAAAATTGCATCTCCTAATATTTAAAAAGTTTGAAATCATCCCACCATTAAATGGCTCTTTGATGGTGGACTGGCTTTGTAATTTTATCAATTCTGCTTTTCCACAGAATTTGAGAAAGTTGGTCCACCCATTCCAAGTGAAAAGATGGCTGTGTTACGGCAGTTTGGGCTTCTTCTCTGGAAGAATTACATCTTGCAGGTGAGTTGGTCCAGGGCCATGGAGAAATGAACAGAAAAGATATCCATAAAAATGAAAGGGTGGAAGTTAAAGCTTGTTGTAAGCCAGCCTTCTCGAATCTCCTCCAGATAGGCTGGACTTCTGTTCACCCTCAGCTTGAGGATTATGGGCGTTGAAGTCCAACACATCTGAAGAAGACATCAAAATCAAGAAGTCTGCTTATTTTTGATGTGCCTTCATTTTTGATCCTGGCTTTCATGCCACACGAGATGTTTTAACTATGGATTGTTGAATAAACGATTGGATTTGCCCAATGTTCTAGCCGCAAACCATAGTTCCAAGCCATAGTGCTGGTTTTGTTCACCCTGCTAAGCCCAACAAGCTCATATTATGGCTGAGCATAATCTGAGGGCTCTTGGGACCCTAGGAATCTTGGTTTGTCTCTCAGAAGTCTCCAAGGACTATCATTACATTGCAGTGTTTAATGTGACGAATGGTGAAAATTTATTATTAATTTATTATTATTAACGAAATGTTTTTTTTTCTTGATTCTTCCCAAAAGCTTTGAGAAAGCTTGCTTCTGCCTTTCTTGTGCAAATCCCTTACTTAACTCAAGATAGAAATCTTACAACTGATTACAAGTGTTGTATCAATCAACAATTGTAATATGCTAAAACCTTATTGTGTTTGCATTTGCGTAACCAATCTATCTTCCCCACCCTTTCCTCAGTTTACATTGTAAAGGGGCAACTTTAAGACTTTGTGGACTTGAACTCCCAGAATCCCCCAGCCAATGTGGTAGCATGGTTGACTGAGGAATTCTGGGAGTTGAAGTCCACAAGTCTTCATGTTGCCAGTTTGTTCTAAATCTAAAGCATCCCTACATATCAAATGGTGGGAAATGCTGCTCAGGAAAGCTGATGCCCCTTTATAAAATTTATAATTCGCATGTCAGACTATTGATTTTTTTTCTGTCATCATAGACCAGGGGTCCTCTAACTTGGCAACTTTAAGACTGGCTGAGGAATACTGGGCGTTGAAGTCCACAAGTCTTAAAGTTGCCAAGTTTGGAGACCTCTGTCATATCCAAAATTCAGATTTGTCTTTACACAAGAGTCCTAATATTTCAATTTTACAGGTTCTCTTAAACAGGCCTTTAGTAGCATGGGCAGAATTTATTGTAATTTATAACCTTATTTATCATTCTTATTATGCTTACTGCTGTTCTTGGTATTTTGACTCTGTCTAGACTGATTTGTAGTTTTTGAAAGGAAGTGAATATGCTGAGTCCTTTATCTCAAAAGGTTAAAAAATTTCAGACTTGTAAATTCCAGCTTGTTCATATTGCCTTTTTGTCCTCTTTTTTTTTGTTCTTAAAATATTCACTAAAAATATATTAAAAATTAAACCAAGCAGGATGTAAAGGCTACAGCAGTTGATCAATATTCATTGCCACTCAAAAGTGTGGAGGAAGAGGCGTTGTTAGCTTGACATCTAACAGACTATAGCAACAGTAAACTGAACCTTCAACAATCCATAGTTAAACATCTGCCAGTCAAGCGTGTCCACCCCCACATTCAAAGCTCCATTCCAACGTTTCATGCTCCATCATAGCTTCTCAGCCCAGTGGAACATTTTTGAGTGGGGAGATTTTTGGTTTCATAGAACGACATTATCTTGAAAAGGGTTGGTTTGTACATCAGCAAATCTTGGAATTTCCGCCAAGCCTGTTGATATACCCTCCTGAATACAGCTAGTCCTCGACTTACAACACTTCAAAGTGTTGAATAAGAAAAAAAACCCACCCCTCCCCATATATACTTAATGACAATATGATTCACTTTAATGGTTGTAAAATCGGATCCAGTCACGTGGTGCCTCAAGTTATGACCGCAGTGACTTACGTTGGAAATTCCAGTCCTTATGGTCATAACTCAAGGACTACCTGTGCACTGTTCCATTTGCCCACACACACACACACCCCAGAGCATTCTCAACGAATTAAGGGCCATTTTGGTCTTCTTGAACTGCGAACACCCAGTTGTAACTCCACCTAGTTGCTTTCGCCGAGCCTAACCTGCATCGTCTCTGTTTCCTTCTACAGAAACGGAAGGTTTTGGTGACGTTGATCGAGACTTGCCTCCCCTTGTTGTTTGCTGCCATCCTTATTGGCCTGCGCCATCGGGTCCATTCGGTCAATCACCCCAATGCCACTTTATACCACAGCAAGGAGGTGAATGAGCTGCCCAGTATCTTCCATCGACGGCATTTGGGCGTCCCCTGGGAACTGGCGTACGTCCCTTCCAACAACACGGCCGTGCAAAACATCGCCAAGAGGGTGGAGAAGGACTTGAAAATCGAAGGTCTGCACTTTGGCGCAGGGTAGTTTGTGTTCCAGGGTGTCCTCCTGGGTACGGAGGGGAGTCTCTGTGTGACGGAAGGGCTTCGCTTTGAGCTGACGGATTGAGTTTTGCAATGCTAAAAATACTGCAAGGAGTCAGCACAGAGTGTTGCAACGCTAGGAGATGCATGCACTTGAAAACAAGGGGAAGAAAATGGAGGGGAAAGCACCATCTGTTTCTCAGAATATTAGAATTTGGGGTCAGCCAGGAAAACCATTCTGATCTTCCCTTCCTTTCCTTTCCTTTCCTTTCCTTTCCTTTCCTTTCCTTTTCCTTTCCTCTTTCCTTTCCTTCTCCTTCCCTTTCCTTCATCCACTCTACTTTCCTTTCCTTTTCCTTTCCTCTTTCCTTCCCTTTAATTCATCCACTACTTTCCATTCCTTCTTTCCTTTCCTTTCCTTTCCTTTTCCTTTCTTCTTTCGTTCCCTTCCCTTCATCCACTCTACTTTCCTTTCCTTCTTTCCTCTCCTCTCCTCTTTCCTTTATCCACTCTACTTTCCTTTCCTTCCCATCCCTTCATCCACTCTACTTTCCTTTCCCTTTCCTCTTTCCTTTACTTTATCCACTCTACTTTCCTTTCCTTTCCTTTCCTTTCCTTTCCTTTCCTTTCCTTTCCTTTCCTTTCCTTTCCTTTCCTTTCCTTTCCTTTCCTTTCCTTTTGTTCCCTTCATCCACTCTACTTTCTTTCCTTCTTTCCTTTTCCTTTCCTCTTTCCTCTCCTCTTTCCTTCCTTTCCCTTCCCTTCATCCACTCTACGTTTCTTCCCTTCTCTTCTCTTCTGTTCCCTTCCTTACTCTTCCCTTCCCTTTTCCTTTCCTTTTCCCTTTCTTTTATTCTATTCTAAGTCATAGAAGCCATCAAGGCAGGAGAAGTCTACCTTACGCTTTGTAGATCAAATTCTGCATCTTGATTTCTACCCCACCCACCACCCCCAAGAAAAGCAAGTGAAATTGGAGAAAACATGAAATATTCATTGCAAGACACAGGGATAGCCAAAAGGCCTGTTACTGTAGCCTGTCTTTACCAGAGAGCTTCCACATTCATAGGCAGTCTATCGGTGTACAGGAACAAATGTACTGTTGCTTTCCTTGCCTGGCTTTCTGGTCTTCCAGAAGACCGGTTGGTCATGGTTGACTCATGGTTGGGTTCAACCAAGTCTACTTCCATCCTTCTCTAATTGGGTTGGCTGTTCTTACTGCTATAATACTTTATCTTAAATATGGATTCGCAAATAAGTTATAATTAGCTGGGTTTGCCATGGTATAATCCAATCTTTAGAATTATAGCATAGCTCATCGAGTGAAATCTTACTAAGCCCACATGGTCTTGGCAACCAACTCTCACTGGGAAAACATTGATCTCTTAGGATTTTTATGGCATACCACCTCTGGGCACCTGAGTCACCTTTTCCCACGTCCAGTTTAACTTATTCCTGCTTCACTGTGGACACCTCACTCTTGGCAACTTTATAATTCAGATAGTCCTCGGCTTATAGAAGTTCATTTAGTGGCTGTTCGAAGTTACAACAGTGCTGGAAAAAAATGACATGACTGTTTTTTCACACTTACGACTGTTGCAGGTTCACCGTGGTCTCGGGATCAATATTCAGGGGCTTGGCAACTGATTCACATTTATGACAGTTGCATACTTCTTTTGCAAACTTATAACAAGCAAAGCCAACGGGGGAAGCAAGATGCCCTCAACAACTATATGGCTAACTTTTTTTTAAACAGATTAACAGAGTTGGAAGTGACCATGTAGATCCTCTAGTCCAGTGGTCACCAACCAGTGGGCCAGGGACCACTGGTGGTCCATGCAAAAATTTTGGTGATCCGCAGAGAAATGTCACCCCCAAAGCAATTAATCCAGGCTGCACAGGAACACAAGGCTGCGCCGCCCACATGGCCCGCGGAAACACAAGGCTTGCATCGCTTGCCTTGCGAACAACATGAAGCAGTGAGGGAAGGGGGGGAAGGGTGAAGGGGGGGAACTTGCCTCATTCGCCCCACGCGCCTGGCCTGGCCACCGGGATGCTTCTTTCCGCTTCTTCTTCTGCTTTTGGCTGCACGCAAGGAAAGCGGATAAAGTCTTTGTTTCTCTCCCCAAACTCTGACAGAAATGAGTCTTTGGGACCCTGCAAGGCCTCCTGCTCCCAGAGGCTGCGCCAGCAAAGACTCATTTCTGGCGGAGTTTGGGGGAGAGAAAGAAAGACTTCTGCTGCTTCTGCTGCTTTCCTTGCATGAAGCCAAAAGTCTCTCTCTTTCTCTTTCTCTCTTTCTCTCTCTCTCTCCCTCCCTCCCTCCCCCTCTCTCGTAAAATTATGAGCTTGGTGGTCCCTCAGGTCCAAAAGGTTAGCGACTCCTAATCTAGTCCAACCTCCCCACCCAAGGAGGAAGACCCTACACCATTTCTGACAGATGGCGGTCCCGTCTCTTAGCAACTGGGACGATTCTCTTAAAAACGGTGGCAAGAACAGTTGCCAAAAGGGGGAAAAAAACCTCACCCAACCCTTAACAATAGAAATTTGGGGGGCTGAATTGTGGTTTTCAGTTGAGGATTACCTGTATTCCAGATGAATTCACGAGATTTGTGGGACTTCCCTGGAAGCCCTCTTAAGCAAAGTGCTTGGCCATTTTGGCCACCAAGAATCTGATAGTTGAGCTGGAGGTTGATTGTATTATTCCAGCTAAGCTGCTTGAAGTGACTGGGTGACGGTCAGTTGCAATGTGAACCTCTTTTGTTTCCTTTATTAATGTGGGCATCTCTCATTAAACCTCCCTCAGTTCACAGGGCTGGTTCTGCAAATAAGCAGTGGGTGAGGCCCATGAGGAAAATAAGTCATCCCTAGGTGAGGACATTGTTGAAAATATCAAGGTTAGATGGAGTAAGATTGGTTTCTGGTTGAGGAGCAAGCAGGCTCCTGAGGAGGACATCTACCATAGATCCAGAGATGCTATGGGAGATGCCTGCAACGCCTCCTTGTCAGTCTGTGTGGCACTGAATCTGTTTTTGATCCTAATTCCAGAGGAACGTTTTGGAGAAAGCTTATGGATGCAAAGATACAAGGCCATTTCCGCATATCTATGAACTAACTCGATACCCAGGCTTTGCTACGAAACTATGTGGCCGGGCTTAGTTTTGGGGGAGGAAAATAAGAGGTGGGGGAAATTCTGCCTCTGCCGACCAGCATCCCTCGGTATTCATCTGGCCAGCGTCCTGTCAGTGTGTGAGAGAGCTGAGGGCTGTTTGGAAACTGAAAGAGTATTTGCTGCGCGAGCAAGAAGTTATTCTTTTGAGTACACTTTTAACATCTTGCTTACCTGCGGAAGGTAGATTGTAATCGACGAACGAACCTGCCCGGGCAAGTCCGTGGCAGTGGAAGGAGCTATATTATGTCTTATTTTATCAAAAGCATGAAGGTTGTGACACAGAGGAAGTTTACCTTTGTAACAAACTTCCTGGGTTGTGAAGTGATGAAATCTTGTCAGTTTTTACCAGGTACACCAAACGAGGAAATGAACCCTGCAGGAAGGCTAAATTTATCTTTATTGCGAGGTTGGTTATGAAAACAAAAGAGTCTTGCAAAATCTTGTCCTCCCAAGCAGTCCTTGACTCACAACAGTTCATTTCGTGACTGCTCCAAGTTCCAACGGCACTCAGAAATGTGACTTAAGGAGCGTTGTCTCATACTTATGACCATTGCCGTATCCCCATGGTCATGTGATCAAAATTCAGAATGGGTTTCATATTTATGATGGACACAATGTCCCTGGGGTCTCCTTTTGCAACCTTCTGACAAAGCAAAGTCCCTGGGGAAGCCAGATTCACTTAACAACCGGGTTAATTAACAATTGCAGTGATTCACTTAATGACTGTGGCAAGAAAATTGGGGCCAAACTCACTTAGCAACTGTCTTGCTCAGCAGCAGAAATGTTGGGCTCCATTTTTTAGTCATACGTTGAGGACTATCTGGATACTCCAATGAATTAGGATGGCATCTGTTGAGCCATTTCCAAATACCTCTGTGATGACCCAAAGGGGCGTGGCACAAAGGCAACACAGTCAGATAATCAGTAGGAGTCCCTTTATTAGCTCCAACTTTGCCCCCAATATCCTGGTTAACTTCTGGCTAGCGAAAAACTCTCCCAGGAACAGCCTTTGGCTGCAGTGAATCAAGTCCAAAACGTGGTCAACAAAAACTGTAACTATAAGTCCAATCAAGGCAAGAGGAGGTAATTAGTCCGGCAGGACAGGAGCAAGAGTTCCAGATGTGAAGGCACAGCAATAACTCAACACGGTTGGGAGGACTCCAGGAATACAGATAACCAAAGTCAATACAAGATAAACTCACGTTTGTTCCCAGCAGCTGCTGCACTCAGCCTGTATCTCTTAAACTCTCTTCCCAGCTGTAGCTAATGAAGGGAATCAGGGCCCTTTCCTCCCCCGTAGGCCATGCAACCAACGTTGCTCCCTTCTCCGTTCCTCCCTGCATGCCCTAAGATGAAGACGGAGTGGGCCTGGTTCTTCCTCTGAACTCCCTCTCCCTGGTTCTATCTCTTCCCTGCTCTGCCCAGCCAGACTTTGTCCTTCCCCAGTTTCCTCCACAGCCGACAGATCCACACTCCCACTCCCTGTCAGCTGTTCTTCTTCCTCCTCCTCGGATTCAGACTGACAAGGGCATGACAACCTCCTTGTTCTGGACATAATAAAAAATGTTTCAGTCCCGTTTACTTGGAAAATACTCCCAGCCTATTTTCATTAAGGACAATCTGCGTTCCCAGTGCAATTACGGACTTACACGAGTTATTTATTTATTTTATTTCATTGATATATGGTATTTTAAATAAACCACCCATCTCCCTTACCGAGTGATTCAGGGCGGTGTACAAATATACATGGCTATTATAATAAAAAGGATTAAAAACAGGGAGGTGCTGTCATTTGTTTGCTCTGTGCTGGGTTGGGTTGATTATAATATTCCCCTTGGGGCCTTCTTTTCATGATACGATTTATGTTTTACTCTGTAGCTCGATGGTTTCCATCCGAAAAAGAGTTTGAACGCTACATCCGTTTTGATAACCATTCGGGCAACATACTGGCAGGAGTGGTTTTTGAGAACTGTGTGGCTAACAGCCAGGATCCCTTGCCACTCCAGGTAAGATGTTCGCTTGGTTGGTCTCTTCAAGGACACCTTCTCAAATTGGTGCATGAAATACGGTTGAAATACCTGTTGGGTGAACCAGATGAAAATGTAACATCCGGTGCGCCTGAACCAGTAGAATCCCACCCTGGGCAAGAAGTCGGGTGCAACTACTGAAGTTTTGACTACACCTTGGAGTATGTCACGGACTCTTCTTATGTCATTAACGTCAAGTCTGGTTGTGATTTGTCTCTGCAGGTTAGTTACCGGCTACGTTTCAAATACAGTCCTAGAAATGCTCCTCCGAGTGAGAGGACAGGATTGAACCCCAACCTGGATCGAGACTGGAACACCCATTACCTCTTCCCATTGTTCCAGCTGCCAGGACCCAGAGAGGCAAAAAGTGACGATGGAGGCACACCAGGTAATTTTTTTTCCCCCAATGGTTATTTTCTGCTGAAAGGTCATTTGATGACCCGGGGCACGGCACAGCGATAACACAAATAGTTGGCAGTTCAAACCGTCCCTTTATTGCACCAAATGTCCCCAAACACTCCCAGGCTTCTGACCAGTCCCAGAGCAAAGTGATGTCAAACCCTTGCGCACACCTCAAGCAGCCTCTGGCTGGCAAATAGCCCAGCCCAATGCTGTGTACCCCAAGGCTGCACGGCAATGAATCCAGCAGGGCAAATCAAGGAGTTCACAGGAAGCAAAGGATCCAGGTAATTAATGCAGAAAGCCAGGAAGAATGCAAGGACTCTTGAGAAGTTCAAACGACGGCACTCAACACTTCAGGATATCAGTGTTTGTTCCTGACAAATGACCCTCCCCACAGTGTATCCTTAAGTCTCATTCCCCAGGTGTGCCTTGTGAAGAGGGGCGGGACGCTCCTCTCCTGAGTAGCCTGCTCGGTCTATGCTGTTCTCGCCTTCTCTCCATGCTCTGTGCTCTCGGATCAGGAGGGGGTGGTCCTTGCTCCTCGCTTGAGCTCTGTCTCTCGTTCATCCTGCTCCTGTTCCTTCCTGTCTACAAGCTGTCCTAATCCTGAAAGGCCCTGGCCTGACTGGCCCCGCCCTTCCCCATTTTCCTCTGAAGCCAATGAAGCCACCGCTTAATCTCTGTTGGCTCTGGTTCCAGCTCATCTCCCCCCCCACCCCGCTCCGACAGGGGCATGACAGATCACCAGATCTTCAAGAGGACCTGGAAACACACAGAGCTGTTTTCTACTTCTGACTGGTCTTAGGTCTTTCACGTTCTGTGAAACATGAGATATTTTTTAACTGAAGGGTCTAAAATTCATGACCCTTAACAAGCCTCTAGAATCTATGCTGTCTACTGTCCTCACACCAAGGATCACTTTTGTGAAAGGCTAAGTTGGCATAAAATATGACAATGTGTCTCAAGTGGGCATCGAGGTTTGAATTCCACCCATATAGTTTTAGAAAGTGAATGGATATCTTTTGATGGTCTCTCAACCCAACATCCTTCACCATGTTGCTGTTTTGAGATAAAATGAACGTGTACAATGAAGCCACCTTGAATTAAAAATATAAATTTAATGAGGAGAACAAATAAGCCAATAAAGTCTTCAAAAACACTGAATCAATGAAGAGTCCTTCATACCTTGCTAGACTTCTGATGAGTCTGAGTCAGGATGATGTCATTTTTTTGGCAGCAGTATGAAAATGCATCCGCATATGCATTTTTCTGGGTTGTGACCTTGACTACTGTAGCTTATAGTTTTGATATTTCAGATGGTTTTCTTTCAAAATATTAACCATGCCTGATCCCACTTAGCTTCCAAATTTAGAGAAGCTTTATCCATACTAAAAAAAAAAAATCCATATACAATTAATTATCTTTTTAATTTCTAACCCCTGTTTCTGTTAGTTAACCATTGGTAAAACAAGCCCTATGTTAGGAAGGATTTTGTTTCTTCCTTTTCTTTTAAGTATTAGTCTATCCATCTCTGCACATTCTAATATTTTTTTTATAACACTTTCAACTGCAGGGATCTCTTCATTTTTCCATTGCTGTGCAAACACAATCAATGCATGCAAAATTAAAGATGTATTTCCTTTATTATACTGTTCTAAGAAGATACCCAACAAAAATATTTCTGGTTTATTACAATTGTTGATTGATAATATGAGTTATTATGTAATATAATTATATTAGCGTTTAGGAAATGGATGCACAAAACAAAAGTGGTAAACCAACAGATACACTGCTTGTAAATTTATGAAGAAGGATGATGTTTTTATGTTTTATGTTGTATGTTTTATGTTGTTTTGTTTGTTGTTAAAATAAAAAACTTTTTTTAAAAAAATATTTCTGGTTTAAAATCTATATTTTGCTTGATCGTTTTAGAGAAATCAGAGCAGCTTTATCAGGTGGGGCTACCTGTTGAAGTTCTGAATTGAACTGAGCTGACATGTTGCTCCTAATCAGTAATTGGATTTCTTTTGAAACTTGGCTCCGAGGCTCGTGAATTAATTAGGGCATCTGTTGGAACCTTGACAGCCACCTCTTTTTTACATGGCTTCCTTCTTCTTGCTTTGCTAGGGTACTTCCGTGAAGGTTTCCTTGCAGTGCAACATGCGGTGGATATGGCCATCCTTCAGTACCATGCCAACACATCTACTTCTGATCTTCCGGATCGGGTGACTTCTTCGAGATTCCACTTCTGGATTCAGCGCTTTCCTTATCCCCCTTATGACAATGACCTCTTCCTCATAGCCATTCAGAACCAGCTTCCCTTAGTACTCATGCTGAGCTTCACCTACACCTCCCTCAACATTGTCCGCGCTGTGGTGCATGAGAAGGAGAAGAAGCTGAAGGTAACGGAAGGATCTGCTCCGGGGTTTGGTAGGACAAGCCTAGCTGGTTGGCTACCCCAACCATGGGAGGAAATGGGTTCCTTGACGTGATGCGTTGTTGACGTTAGTTGTAATCAAGTCCATTTGGAATCTAGAACGCCGGCGCTTACCCTGAGAAATGTGGCATTTTTTTAAAAAAAAATGAGAAAAGAAAGAGAAAGAAGGAGCAGGAGAATAAGGGAGAAATCATGGTGTCGTTTGCAGTTAATGCTAAACTATGGTTGGTCTGCTTCTGTCTTGGTGTGATGGGCCGACTCATCTATGATGCCTTAAGGGTGATGTCAAAATAAGCAGAGTTTAACAAATTGCGCCTCAGAATTTGGTACGAACCAGGCCCTGAGGCTGCTTTGAAGAATGGCTTTATTTTAAGGCAGACAAAAACACCCACAAAACCTTAGTTGGCTTGTGGTAAGTGTGCAAACAGCTTTGAAAACCTAATGCGCCAATGGCTATATAAAAACGAGGAAAGCTCAGATGGATAATTAAAATAGGCGAATGGAATAGGGAATAGAATATAGCATAGAATAGGGTAGGATAGAATATGGAATGGGATAGAATATGGAATGAAAGGAATGGAATAGAACAGATTAGAATAGGGAATAGAGAATAGGGGATAGGATAGGATAGGATAGGATAGGATAGGATAGGATAGGATAGGATAGGATAGGATAGGACAGGACAGGACAGGACAGGACAGGACAACAGAATACTGGAATGAAGAGTAGAGTAGAGTAGAATAGAATAGAATAGAATAGAATAGAATAGAATAGAATAGAATAGAAGCTTTATTGTCACTTTAAACATAACCTAATCAGCATACATTAAAATGAGGTTTTGTTGCATTCAGCTCTCAAGATATAACCATTTTGTATATATCTACCTACACACACACACACATGACACAGAGAAAGCACAGTCTCGTCTGAATGTATACATATAAATGGCGAAAGAAAAGAGTTGACGAGACCTAAGGATCAAAGTGGTGCCAGACTCTAGCAGTCCTGCTATAGATACTCCGAAACCTCCTCTCAAAGGGGAGCAACGGAAACGGACCCTGGAGTGGGTGCGTGGAAGTACAGATGATAGGCGTTTGCTCCTCCCTGTTGCTTAGCAGGTACGTGTAATTCCATGTGGAATTTTGTGTCCCTAGGAGTACATGCGCATGATGGGACTCAGTAACTGGCTACACTGGAGTGCATGGTTCCTCCTCTTCTTCCTCTTCCTCATAGTGTCCATCTTCTTTGTGACCATCCTCTTCTGCGTCAAGGTGAGCATCCTCGTTTTCTTTCTTTTTTTATCCGACCCTTTGAAGAAGATATATAATATAAACAAAAACAGGCAGTCCTCGACTTCCAACAGTTCATTTAAGTGACCAAGATACAACGCCACTGAAAAAAAGTGACTCAGGACCGTTTCTCACACTTAGGCCCGCCGGCAACCTCCTCTCCATGGTCACGTGATCAAAATTCAACATCTTGGCAACTGACTCCTATTTATGACGGTTTCCTTGTCCACGTGGTGTCAACTAAAAAGATACTCCTTTGGTCTTTTTAGCTGCCAGCAGAAAGGGAGTGTGTGGGGAAACAGTGCATTCCTTAAGTGCCTAGATAATCGCCCTGGCAGCCCAAAGTGGTCGGAGCGCAAGAATATTACTGGAGAGCATGATGGATGACTCTTGGCTATGGATGTGTCCCATTGGAGAATACACATCCAGGGGATGGGGGGAAGACCAGGGTCAAGGGGGAAATGAATGGTGTATTTTAGCGTCGGCTGCATCCCGCTAACGCCAACGTGGTCACTTCCAATAAATCAAAGTTCTTTTCTCTGAGATGCGGCTAGAGACTTATGATTTGAATGGGGGTGGATTTCTTGGAGTCCTGACACGTGGATCCCCTTTTGCGACTTTCTGGCAAGCAGAGGCAACGAAGGAGCCGGATTCACTTAAAATAACCAAGTTATTAAATTAATAACCGCAGTGATTCCCTAGGAAAGGATGAGGCCTGAAAGAGTAGGAGAGCTTATTAACAGGCTTCCATTTTTTTTTTGCAGGTGAGCGAACAGGGGGCTGTGCTGGCCAACAGCGACCCGACTCTGGTCTTCACTTTCCTGGTGGTGTTTTGCATCTCAACCATCTCCTTCAGCTTCATGGTCAGCACGTTCTTCTCAAAAGGTGAGCAAGAGGGTTTCTACTATGGGCTTCCTGTTTAGGGTTTCCCCGTTGCCACACAATCCCGACTAAGCTGCCACCTTTCCTTATTATGTAAAAGTTTGTCTCTCGATAACTACGTGGATATTTTATTGATGTTACGGAAGGGATTTCCCTCCTTGTGTTGTGTTGTGTTGTTGTTTTCTTTCCGTGTTAGTCCTAGGAGTCTCTAGTAGACTTCCATCTGAGCATTAATCATGTTTGACCCACATTACTTTACCAGCACAGTTGGGATATAGACAGAGGCAGTATTCATTCCTGCTTACCTTATCTGAATGTCTAAACAAATTTTACTTGTCTTTCCAAAGCCAGAAGAGAATTGTGTTGTAACTTTAAAGAGGGAGGAGAGATAATGAATTTGTTTGCCACTGTTGTAAAGCAAAATGGGAATGCTTTCCTTTCCTTTCCTTTCCTTTCCTTTCCTTTCCTTTCCTTTCCTTTCCTTTCCTTTCCTTTCCTTTCCTTTCCTTTCCTTTCCTTTCTCCTTTCCTTTCCTTCTCTTTCCCCTCCTCCCCTTTCCTCTCCTCCCCTCCCCTTCTCTTCCTCTTTCCCCTTTTCCTTCCTTCCTTCCTTCCTTCCTTCCTTCCCTCCTCCCCCTCCTTATCTCTTCCCTTCTTCCCTTCCCTACCTGCACTGTCCTTTCTACTTCTTTTATCTTTTTAAATTTTTTTTTCACTTTTTATAATATTACTTTCATCTTTTATATGAAAATCTTGGAAACCAGAAGTATGGTTGTTGAGCATAATCCCAGAGGGTTATGAAAAGGGAACTGCATATTTAGTTTTACATATACTAACAGCAGCAAGGATTAGCTGTTGCAAAATTTTGTTAAAATGAACATATTCCACCAGATGAGGAGGTAATCAGAAAGATCCTAGAATGTGCTGAGATGGACAGATTAACTTTAAAAATAAAAGAAAAAGAAGAGTCAGAATACTATTTGACATGGAATACATTTTATGAGTGGCTTAAAGCAAGGAATAGAAGTTAGAGGAAGAAAAACGATGAATGTTCTTATTAAAAACGGGGGGGATACAGAACTACAATTGTTATAAATATTAAAAATATGAATGAGTTTAATAGAAAGAATGGGAACATTGTATGGGAATTGTAGTATTACTAGAGCTGTTAGTTTAGGTGTTATTATGAGTATTATTATTAGTAAACAGACAATATTTTTTACAATATTAGTTATGTTTCCTTTTTTTTTTTGTAAATAATATATCTGGGCAAAACGCTGTATTCAAAAAAAATGTTTATGAATAAAATCCCCCCAAAATATATAAATTAAAAAAAGAAGAAGTTAGCGGTGCAATGCAAAATTCCCCATCCCTGCTCAGAGTTGTCCCCTCCCTTTATCCCTCCTCCTCCCCTCTGCTCCAGCCATTCTGAGGTTGCCCCTGGTCTATCACAAATGCATTGGCTCTCCAAAGGCCACCAAGCCCCGTTGATTCTTTTTACAGTCAATATCCACTTTGTGTTTGCAGCAAATGTAGCCGCAGCTGCGGGAGGTTTCCTCTATTTTTTCTCCTACATTCCGTACTTTTTTATCTCCCCCCGCTACGACCACATGACTCACAGCCAGAAACTGTCGTCCTGTCTTATCTCCAACGTCGCCATGGCTATGGGGGCACAGCTGATCGGCATGTTTGAAGGGAAAGGTGAGCATTGCTTCCTTCAACATTGCCCCCCGCTCTGTAGGTTGGGTGCCAATGTCAGGAATATTATGCGTGTATGTATGTATGTATACAAAGTTGTCCAACTTGGTAATGTCAAATCCCAAAATTCCCCATCCAGCATGCTCTAAATCAGTGTTTCTCAACCGTGGTAACTTTAAGTTGCGTAGATTTCAACTACTAGAATTCCCCAGTCAGCCAGCCAGCCAGTCAGGGATGAATGGATAAATGATAGGTGGAAGACTGGATGGATGGATGGATGGATGGAGAAATGGATAGAAACAAAGATAGAAATATGGATGGATGGACAGAAGGACGGATGGATGGATAGATGGATGGATAGATGGAAAGAAAGATAGATAAGGTAAGTTATGATAAGGTGATGAGATGAGACATGTGTGTGTGTGTGTGTGTGTGTGTGTGTATGGATCTTTGGTTATTCAGGTTTTCTCCCGCGTAAGATTGGAAGTATCTAGGCAACATTTCGATGAAGTCTCATTCATCATCTTCAGGCTTGTGTCTTCGGCTCTGTGCTTCTCTGTGCCTCTCATCACTCTGAGAAGCACAGAGCCGAAGACACAAGCCTGAAGATGATGAATGAGACTTCATTGAAACGTTGCCTAGATACTTCCAATCTTATGCAGGAGAAAACCCAAATAACCAAAGATACTAATACCCGCGAGAACCTCAGAGAATATATATATATGAAATCCTTCTAGCATGCTATTTATTTGTTTTAAAAGTTTGCACTTCCAAATGTATATACTTTAAAAAAATTAATTTACATGGTTTTAAATTTTTAACTGCTTTTCTACTATTTATGGTCTATAAACTTCTCAGAGTCGGCTTATGGTGGAGATGGATGGCGTATAAATTTAATTAATGAAATAAATAAAGAAAAGTTTGTATTTTCCAGGCACAGGGATACAGTGGGGAAACCTGATGAGAGCTGTCAGTGTTGATGATAACTTCACAATGGCTCATGTGCTGGGTATGCTTCTCCTGGATTCTACAATCTATGGCTTTGTTGCTTGGTACATGGAGAACGTGTTTCCGGGAGAATATGGCATTCCACAACCCTGGTATTTCTTTGTCATGGTAAGCGTTGGGCCTCTCTCTCTCTCTCTCTCTCTCTCTCTCTCTCTTCATCTGCTCATCTATCTGTCTCTATCTCTATTTCTCTATCATCTATCTCTCTATCTAATATCTATGTACCTATCTACCCATCCATCCATCCATCCATCCATCCATCCATCCATCCATCATCTATCTGTTGAATTTTCATAGCCACCTATCTGACAAGACGTGAGTTTTTCCCTTCTCATATATGTTTGGGTTGATTATTTTAGCCGAGAGAACAAACCTACATTCCAAGCTGTGCGTTGGAAAAGGTACTTGCAATTTTAGCCGCCACTTTGTCAACATTGATATCTTGCGAAAATTTAAGCTGCCTAGATTTTATCCGTATAAAATAAATAAAAATTAAGAGACTGTCAACCAGGTTGAAGACAAATCTTCCTATAGAAAAAACTATCTATGCCATGGTCACTAAAAGTCAACACTAGCTTAATGGCAGACAATCTTAATAGACTATTAAGATTAAAAAATGCATTTTGCAATAATGTACAGTATTGGGGATTTGTGCACATCAGTGTTTGAAAAACATCTTTTTGGCTTTCTGTTTGGAAAAGTGGGTTTCACGGCCTTCAGAACTAGTTTTGCTGTCATTCACGAGGGACATTTCCTCCAGAGAGGAAGAAAACTTGTATACTTTCAAAAGAACCTTCTGGTATTCTTTCCTGGGTCACTTTTTTGGGAAAGGAATGATGGATTCTCTTTGTTTCTTTAGCCTTCTTACTGGTGTGGGAGCCCCCAGACTGTTCTGGGAAAAGAGAAGGAAGAGGAGGAAGACCCAGAAAAAGCCTTGAAGAGTCAATTCATAGAGGAGGAGCCTTCGGACTTGGTGTCAGGCATCAAAATCAAACACCTTTTCAAGGTGAGCTGCTTCTGCTGGTTGCTCCGCTTCTAAGTCCCAAACCTGTCTGTGTTTGTGGTGATGCTGGTTGTTGGGGAAGGTTTCTAATGGACAGGTGTGTGGCTCTCAGAGCACTTCCTAAGAAAAATAAACATGCACTTGTTCGAGCAAGATCAAACTTTGTAAAATCGTGTGAGATTTCCAGAAAAGGTAACAAAAGTGGCCTATTGGCAGTGAGAGCTGCAGATCTCCCGTAAAACTGGATGAGGATGTGCAAAGCTCCAGCGTTCCTTCAGAAAGGGATTCTTCTTCTTGCTTCTCTGCAAGACTCTGCTGATATAGGTAGTGTCAACTCGTAAAGCATTCCTATGCTTGTTTTTGAGTTGCCATAAGCACTAGGGGGAAAATCCTGAAGGAGCAGTACAGAAGTTAAAACCAGAAGTACATTCCACACTTATCTTACAAAGATTGTAGCTAGGCTACCGGATCTTCTGCCCAGGAAAATCTTTCATTGGATATTTGATGGATGATACCCAGCCCATGAAGGTGCTTCGTTGGAGAATCTGATTTATGACACACTGAGGGGGAAGGAGGGAAACAGGGTCACAGGTGACCATAAATCATGTGTGTCAGAGTTGGCTTCATACTGGTCAATGCTGACATGTTGCTCCTAATAAATATTTTGGATTCTTTTGAAGCTTGGCTCGAAGCTCATGATAGGGATATCGCCGGAACCCTGACAGGTAGTATCTGGAAGAGATTCCTGCATACATGTTACGGGTGCATCAAATGGGGAGGCACATGGAAAGATGTATGTCACATGAGGTGCCTCTCACGGTTTGCTCTGTATTCCTGACCCCCTTCTAAGCACTGATGATATTACCTAGTTGGGTAATCAAATGTCTTCAAGAAAATAACCACACTCGGAGAACGCTTAAGACCCCTCACTTCAACCCTGAGTTACAAATAGTCTCTTCTATCAGCACTTATCTATAAACAGAACAAACTCCACTCCCTTCTAGCTCTGATGATGTTTCCTAGTTGGGTAGTGAAATGCCTGCAAGAAAACAACTAAGTTCAAAGAGCAACAAGGACCCCACAATCCTCCTCCCTTCTCCTCCTCCTCCTCCTCCTCCTCCTCCTCCTCCTCCTCCTCCTCCTCCTCCTCCTCCTCCTCCTTTTCCTCCACCACCACCACTACCACCACCAGTCTGCAAATGCCAGTCCCTTCCAGCACTGATGTTGTTGCCTAGTTGGGTAATGAAATGTCCACGAGAAAACAACCGAGCTCAGAGAGCACCAAGGAGTGCATAGTCCTGCTCTTCGTCTCCTTCCCCGTCACTTCTTCCTCCTCCTCCTCCACTTCACAAACTCCGCTCCCTTCTAGCTCTGATGGTGTTCTCTAGTTGGGTAGTGAAATGTCTGCAAGAAAACAACCAAGCTCAGGGGACCCCTCACTTCAACCCTGAGCTACAAATAGTCTCTTCTATTGACACTTATATATAAACAGAGGAAATTCCACTTCCCTCTAGTATTGATGATGTTGCCTAGCTGGGTAGTGAAATGTCTGCAAGAAAGCCGCCAAGCCCAGGGAGCACCAAGGACCTCACATTTCAACCCTGAGCTACAAATATTCTCTTTAATAGGTTCAATAAGTGTTTTTGTGACCCTTCAGTCATTTGATTCTATGTGCCGTATAACTTGAATACTCCAGGGCATTTTTGCTGAATCTGTTTCAGAAAAAGGACCTTTATCTTTATCCTTTTTTTTTCCTTGCTTTTCTGCAGGTGTTCAAAGTGGGAAACAAAACCAGAGAAGCTGTGAAGGACCTGACTCTTAATATGTACGAAGGACAAATCACTGTCCTTCTTGGACACAACGGGGCTGGAAAAACCACCACTTTGTCCATGCTGACAGGTGAAGCTTGGACCTAGCTTGGATCTGGAATTCAGACCATATCATCATCATCATCATCAGATCTAGAGGTCCCGTATGAACAAAAGAAAGCACTATCTTTTAAATGGAGCTCTATGAAAACCTTAGCTTTAAGGGAGAGTAGGAAGCTGAGTTGGACCTACCATTGAGCAGCAAGCATGAAAAGGCAGAAACTTCATAGAATAGAATAGAATAGAATAGAATAGAATAGAATAGAATAGAATAGAATAGAATAGAATAGAATAGAGCAGAATAGAGCAGAATAGAGCAGAATAGAGCAGAAACTTCATAGAATAGAATAGAATAGAGCAGAATAGAGCAGAAACTTCATAGAATAGAATAGAGCAGAATAGAATAGAATAGAATAGAGCAGAATAGAATAGAATAGAATAGAATAGAATAGAATAGAATAGAATAGAATAGAATAGAATAGAATAGAATAGAATAGAATAGAATAGAATAGAATTCTTTATTGGCCAAGGGTGATTGGACACACAAGGAATTTGTCTTGGTGCAAATGCTCTCAGTGTGCATAAAAGAAAAGATACATTCATCAAGAGTCAAGAATCACCAGGTACAACACTTAGTAATAGTCACAGGGTACAATAAGCAATCAAATCATACTAGGAAACAGTCAATATAAATCGTAAGGATACAAGCGACAAAGTTACAGTCATACAGTCACAAGTGGGAGGAAATGGGTGATAAGGAGTGATGGGAGGATTAATAGTAATGCGGACTTTGTAAATAGTTGGAGAGTGTTGAGGGAATTATTTGTTTAGCAGAGGGATGGCGTTCAGGGAAAAACTGTCCTTGTGTCTAGTTGTTCTGGTGTGCAATGCTCTATAGCATCGTTTTGAGGGAAGGAGTTGAAACAGTTTATGTCCAGGATGTGAGGGGTCTGTAAATATTTTCACAGCTTCTTTTTGACTTGTGCAGTATACAGGTCCTCAATGGAAGGCAGGTTGGTAGTAATTTTTTTGATGATGGGGTCATTAAAATATGATGATGAAGATGATTCTAATGTCTCTTAAATCTCCTTCTTCTATTGATTTATTTATAAATAATTCAGACTTTTATGACTTTTATGATTCTTATGTTGCCTGGAGTTATATTTCACCCTAAGCTGTGTCCCCTTTTTTTCCTTGGCTGTTTCTTAGGACTGTATCCCCCTACAAGTGGACAGGCGTACATCAATGGCTACGAAATCTCCCAAGACATGGTTCTCATCCGGAAGAGCCTGGGTCTTTGTCCTCAGCACGATGTCCTCTTTGACCACATGACGGTGGAAGAGCATCTGTACTTCTACTCTGGGGTAAAATTTTGGTCAATGTTTACTTGGACTTAAGGTTTAATTGGGCTTAGTTTTGGGGGAGGAAAATAAGGGGAAAAAATTCTAGCTCTGCCTACCAGCATCCGTGGGTCATCTGGCTAACGTTCTGTCAGTGTGTGAGAGAGCTGAGGGCTGTTTGGAAACCAAAAGAGTATTTGCTGTGTGAGCAAGAAGGAGACAACAAGGAGCCGGGGCGTGGCTTAGCTCAACTGTTCTGTACTAAAGCTGCTTGGTGCTGTGAAACTGAAACCAAAACTCCTCTCCTCTGCTTGTGTTTTGCATTTGGAACAGATTTCTTTTCAGGTGGGGAGGGGGAGTAGAACTCCTTAGCATCAGAGCATGTTAATAATAATAGTATACGAAATCCTAATGCTCTGATGGTCATTTCAAAAAATCCTTTCTTAGTGAGCCCCTAGAAGCCAAGGGGAACATAGGTGCCAAATTTCAAGTTTGTAGGCGTTGTTCAAGTTTTGGAGATTTTGTGATGATGCATGAGTGGCATTTTGCTTTTATATATATAGATGTATACAGTTTCCCAAAGCATAAACCGTAGTCACCGGCAACCAAAGGATAACCAAAGGCCCTTTGGAATAAAGGAAAGGGAAGGAGGGGCTTTCTAAGTGAAGGACACTTTAGAAGAAGCCATAGTGGGAAAATAAGTTTGCAGCAGTCATTAAGGGAATTTTGTGATCGAAAAGTGAGCTCATTAAAACCGGAAGTCAGTGCTGGTTTGGGGCAAAAACATCGTAAGAAACACAGTCACGTGACCACAGGACACTGGGAACGGTCATAAACGCAGGTCGTTGATGAGCTCTGGATGTGCAGTCACATGACTGCAACGGGGAGGAGGATTCTTGGGTTCCAGATTCAGGTCAAAACTCCCATTGTACGGTCCACTGTAACTTGGAACCTAGCACTTGTAAAACGAGGACTTCCTGGATGCAAGGCAGGGCTAGATGACCTCCAAGGTCGCTTCCAACTCATCTGTTAATCCCTAAGGCCAGGTTGAGACCTCACACCCTTTTTTTTTTCTTTTTTTTTCTCTTCCATCACAGCTGAAAGGATTTCCTGCTGAAAAATGCCCGGGGGAGATCACCCATATCCTGCACATCCTCAACTTACAAGAGAAACGGGGCACTTTGTCCAAGGCCCTTTCCGGAGGCATGAAACGCAAGCTCTCCATTGCCATCGCTCTCATCGGGGACTCCAAGGTGCGGCTCAGCCAAGCCCCTCACCCTGGTTCACCTGTGCAGGTGGTTCTGAGAGAGTCTGGTGGACTTGGTGCCTTTGCAGGGTGGATGGGGACCACCCAAACGGCAGAGGATGGAGTGGAGAGGTTGGGTGTCTCCACCATCTCGAGCTGTAGCTCTTGTTTTCCCATCAAGGTCCTTCTTTGTTTAAAATGTGAATGAAGGGTCACATTTTGTGGTACCTACGCCCTGCCATTTGGGAGGGTTGAACGGAGGGTGTGTGTGAACCTCCCGAAAAATTACAACAATCCTGGGCCCCAGACTAAGAGTGAATCATTACAGTGAGTTGGGTTCTTTGATTGAACAAGGGAGTTGAACCTAAATCTTTCCTCTTTTCTTTCTTTCTTTCTTTCTTTCTTTCTTTCTTTCTTTCTTTCTTTCTTTCTTTCTTTCTTTCTTTCTTTCTTTCTTTTTTCTTTCTTTCTCTTTCTTCCTTCCTTCCTTCTTTCCTTCCTTCCTTCCTTCCTTCTTTTTTCTTTTTCTTTCCTCCTTTCTTTCCTCCTTCCCTTCCTCTTTTCTTTCCTCCTTCCTCCTTCCCTTCCTCCTTTCTTTCCTTTTTCCTCCTTCCTCCTTCCCTTTCTCCTTCCCTTTCTCCTTTCTTTCCTCCTTCTTTCTTCCTTCCTCCTTCCCTTCCTCCTTTCTTTCCTCCTTCCTCCTTTCCCCCTTTCTCCTTCCCTTCCTCCTTTCTTTCCTCCTTCCCTCTTCCTCCTTCCCTTCCTCCTTTCCCTCTTCCCTTCCTACTTCGTTTCCTCCTTCTTCCTTCTTTCCTCCTCCCCTCCTTTCTTTCCTTCCTTCCTTCTTCCTTCCTTCCTTTCTTTCCGTCCCCCTTTCTTTCATAATAAAACTTTCATCTTCTCATTTTCAAACCATAATATCTACCACATGACCAAAATGAAAACAAAAGTGGATTTTTTTAGTCCACCTTTTAATGTTCGCATTCACATTCTTGATACAATGCATATGGTGGGGTCCTTCCAATAAGCTGACCTTAAACAGCCCAGGATGATAGAGAGGGGTGGCGAGTGGGGCTTTTCTCCCTTAGAAGGGGAATAATGACTAAATCAAACTACTTCAGGTTGCGTCCACTCCTCCCTCTTCCTTCTGGCTGTGCCGTTACGTCCACCACCTCTTTCCATTACGCTTCCCCAGTTCTCCATTCAAGACCTGAGAGGCTGGGTTCCAGCCACCTCGGGCCCACCAGATTGCAACCAATTCTCGACGCAACCCTAACCTCCCTCTTCTTTGCAGGTGGTGATGCTGGATGAACCTACCTCAGGCATGGACCCCGTTTCACGACGGGCCACGTGGGAGCTCCTGCAGCAGCAGCGGAGAACTCGCACCATCTTGCTCACCACCCATTTCATGGACGAGGCAGACCTGTTGGGCGACCGCATCGCCATTATGGCCAAGGGGGAGCTCCAGTGTTGTGGATCTTCCCTCTTTCTCAAGCATAAATATGGTGAGGAGATTCGACTTGGAATAATGTCACTGTCGCTTTGAATGCACACCAATCGGCATCCGTTGAAATGAGATTTCGTTGCTTGCAGCTCTCAGAGGGTCACCGCCTCCAATATACACTATATAAACATGACAAAATAAATAAATACAAAATTATGTATATACCCACGTATATTATATGAATACTAGCTCTATATCCGTGCTTCGCTATGAAACTATGTGGTCTGGCTTAGTTTTGGGGGGAGGAAAATAAGGGGAAAAATTTTCTGCCTCTGGTGGGTTGGTTTCCAAATGTTTCATGACCAGGATAAATAACATCTTCAGTGGAATTTAGGAGGTGTCAGTGTTCTTTTGTTTATAAGGGCTTCTGGTGTGGTTGTATCAAGTGACGGGTCAGGTGTGAGTCATCAGTGAGAGTCTTGTGACATGTCTTGTGATCGAGAGGTTACATCAGGTCAGGGTCATATAAGTTCTCCTTGAGCATAATTGGTAATTTTAAGGAAGTGTCCATATTCTTAGCAACAGCATGGAAGCGTTTTCCCATTGCTTTCTTCCAGAGAGTATTTTTTTGACTTCTGAGTCAATTCCTCAACTCTACATCCAATCCTGATGGAATTTTTCAAGTCCAACCATGGTTGGCTGTGTGTGGCCATCTCTTTAGCTCTGAAGGACATGAAAGTTAGGGGTGATGATGATCCCAAGAAAGCATCATCAGGCAATAATCCTTCTTCCTTTTCAGGTGCTGGGTACCACATGGTGATGGTGAAAGAGCCCTATTGCAACCTCGGAGAGATCTCCCACCTCATCTATCATTATGTCCCCAATGCTTCTCTGGAGAGCAACGTGGGGGCAGAATTGTCCTTCATTCTACCCAAGGAGAGCACGCACAAGTAATCCCACCCTTAATAACTACGGGGGATGCCCGGGTGGGGATTCAAGTTTGCCAAAGACTCAAAGTCTCAATGGAAGTGATGGGAGTTGGATTCAATTCACCTGGAGAACATGGAGGAGGCTTGAAGGAGGCCTCCTCCATTGTACCACCAATTTATCCCTTCAGTTTTGCTTGCATAATGGGACTTAACCATCTGTTGAACTCCAGTGCACTTCACCATGTCATAACCAAGGCCAAATTTGATCGTGGTTACCTCGGTCAAGGGCTCATTTGATTGAACCCAATTTCTGCACTCATCCTCTGCCCTGAAAAGCTCCGTGGGGTGGGTTTGAGGACCACGTCAGCCTTAAATGGAATTTGGTCGTATGGGTTGTCATATGTTGTGTGAACACACACAGCCAGAACTGAGTTTCCTAAGCTTTTGAACCTGATAGGCAGGGTTGAACAGAATAACAGGATAACAAAGCTGGGAGGGTCCTTGGAGGTCTTCTAGTCCAACCTCCTGCTAGAAGACCAGGTTATAGGTGCTCTCAGAATAGCTTAAAAGAATCTCAAACCATCTGTTTACCAGGCAGATGCACACACACACACACACACACACACACCCTCTAGCATTTCCCAATCTCTTAATTTTTGTCTTTTTTGACAGACAGGGCCAATTCCAAACAAAATTGTCACTCACTCTCCTTTTATTTTCTATGAGACCATTAGGCCTCTGTTATAGATAAAGATGACGGTAAAGGCTATGGTTTACTTCACAGCACATCTTCTCCTATATTGATTAAATTAATTACTAAGAGCCTCTTTTAAAATGAAGATTGTTACGGCTGACCTGAAGGGAGCTATCCATGGGCTTCTGAAAATCAACCTGGGTATGGCTGTGAATGTGGTGTCTGAATTCAAATCTTCTCCCTTACTTTTTCCTTCCAGATTTGAGGCTTTGTTCACAGAGCTGGAGTTACGCCGGGAAGAACTGGGCATTGCCAGTTATGGAGCTTCCGTTACTACAATGGAAGAGGTCTTCCTTAGGTAACTTTTTGATGAGCTTGCCAAGCGAGGTTGAAAGGTGGGCTTGTAAGATGAATTTGGCATGGGGTTGAAAGATGGGTTGAAAGGTGAACTTGGAAGGTGAGCGTGGGAGGTGGGTTTGGAAGGTCAGCTTGGAAGGTGGGTTTGGAAGGTGAGCTTGAAAGGTGGGCTTGGAAGGTCAGCTTGGAGGATGAATTTGGAAGATGAGCTTGAAAGATGGGTTGAAAGGTGAACTTGGAAGATGAGCTTGAAAAGTGAACTTGGAAAGTGAGCTTGGAAGGTGGGTTTGGAAGGTGAGCTTGGAAGATAAATTTGGCAGATGAGCTTGAAAGGTGGGTTGAAAGGTGAACTTGGAAGGTGAACTTGGAAGATGAACTTGGAAGATGAACTTGGAAGATGAGCTTGGAAGATGGGTTGGCCTTCTCAAGAGATCACATCCCATGAGGCTTGTTATGAGAGTAAAATTGCGGGGAGTGGGAGAAAGTAAAATTCTGAATTTGATCTTTCTTGAAGAGTTGGCAAGCTTGTGGATTCCAGCATGGACATCCAAGCCACCCAGCTGCCAGCTTTGCAGTACCAGCACGAACGGCGATCCAACGACTGGGCCACGGATGACTCCAGCAGCATGAGTGGCATGACAAACATGACCGATGACAGCGGGGCACTCATCACCGAAGATTGCTCTAACATTAAGCTGAACACAGGGGTGAGTCCCTAATACTTGCTTCCATTTGGTGGTTGGGTTCTTTTTTGGTGGAGAGAATAGCAAAGGGAAGACAGATAGTTCTCAACATACAACTACAATTGGGAGCAGAAATTCTGTGGCTAGACAAAGCGGTTGTTAAATGGGCCGCATCCAATTTGATGTCCTTTTGTTAAGTCAAACTGCAGTTGTTAACTAATCCAACTTTCCCCGCTGGCTTTGATTGTGGGAAGCTATCTGGGGTCACAAATGGTGATCACACAACCCTGGGATCCTGCAACTATTTGTAAATACATCCTGGTTGCCAAACACTTGAATTTTGATCATGCAGCCATAGGGTTGCTGCAATGGTTGTAAGTGCAAGGACCAGTCACAAATCACATTTTTTCAGTTCCGTTGTAAGTTCGAACAGTCGTTAAAAGAATGGTTATAAGTCAAGGACTCCCTGTGTTTTCGTCATGGTCCAAATTTTGAGGGGCGAATCCAGAGAACGGTTCAGTATTTGAAACAATCAGATACCAGCGGCAATAGAACTCATGATTTAAAATAAGGGGGGTTGCCTATACATTTTGATACCCTCTGGAGCCCCGAACTTGAAATCTGCAGAAATTTGGCAGCCTAAATTGCAGGAAGTCCTTGATTTATGATAGAAATGGAGCCCAGAATTCCTATTACTAACTAAGACAGTTGTGGAGTGAATTTTGCCCCGTTTTACAAACCTTTCTTGCCCCAGTTGTTAAATGAATCACTGCAGTTAGTCATCCATGGTAAAGTGAATTGGCCTTCCCCATTAATTTTGCTTGCCAGAAGGTTACAAAAAGGTTATCACGTGACTCCAGGACACTGCAAACCATTGTAAATATGAGCCGGTTGCTCCAAAGACTCTGAATTTTAATGCTGGCTGAGCGTGGCCATGGGGGGCGTGGCCTAGTCAGCCTCCTGCAACCTGGCGGGAAGGTGTTTTTGTCTCCCCGGACTCCGGAGGCTTTTCTTGAGCCTCCAGAAGGGCAAAAATGACCTTCCCGGACTCCGGAGGCTCTTTGGAAGCCAGAAACGGCCAGTTTTCAGCCTTCACAAGCTTCCTAGAGGCCTATTTTTCACCTTCCGCAAGACTCCGCGCACACCCTGCACTTACCTGCATCCAAAAGAGGCCACGTGGGAACTCCTGAGAGAGGAGGGGTGGAGTGGGTGGGGCCAGAACTTGGGGGTTCTCCAAACTACACAGAATCTTAACTAGGGGCGCTCCTGAACCCCTGCGAACTCCCAGCAGCCCAGCCCCGAGTAAAGGGGTTTGCAGAAAACTCACTCCCCTGTGTAAATCTCATCTTTTCTGCTCTCCTGTAGTTCTACCTCTGCTGCCAGCAGTTCTACGCCATGTTCATGAAGAGAGCTGTGTACAGCTGGCGCAACTGGAAGATGGTAGCAGCCCAGTTTTTGGTGCCTCTTATTTTCACTGCTTTTGCCTTGATCTCCGCCAAGACCTTCCCGGGACCGCAAGACTCTCCGTTGTTGAAGCTGACGTTAAATCCGTACGGACAAACCACGGTGCCTTTCTCCGTCTCCCAAGGCTCCAGTCTGGGCGAGAGGCTGGCAGCGCAGTACAGGGATGTGGTTGGTGCTCAGTGCCAGGAGCCGTTGGAGGTGGTAGGTCAGTGACAATCCAAAGTTTTCCTTCTAGAGCAGAACTCAGACACAAAGGGGGCGGGGGGGGGGGTCCTTTGTGCTCATAAGAGGTCAGCCTTTCTAGGTAGACCAGATAGAAAACACAACCTGATGAGCTAAGTCTAACTTTTATTGTAAGGCTACATTAAAAAGAAAAAGGGGTACGGTGGCCTAGCAGGATGTTGGGGTTCTCATTTGGAAGATGGGCAGTTTGAGACCCAAGTGTCAGGGGTGAGCTCCCACCTAGCAGTTCGCAAGCGTGCCAATGCAAGTAGATAAATAGGTACCATTTGGTGGGAAGGTAGCCACGTTCCATGTGCTTCGGCATACAGCCATGTTGGCCGTATGATCACAGAAGCATCTTTGGTCAACAGTGTCTCCCTCAATTAAGAAACGGAGATGACAATCAACCCTTAGATTTGGGAACAACTAGACAGGGGGAACCTTTATCCTTTATCTTTACATCAAAAGAATCTAGCAAGTCTAAAAGTACAAATCTCCCACCATCTTCTTTGGAGTCTGAGACTCTGGGAAGCTTCACCCATTATGTAGCTGTGGGCTACGCCCTCTTTTATCTGGACATTCCTTTCTTTGTTTCTGTTTGCCAAGGTTTTTCTCACATATCATTCCTTAAGCCTGCCTACATCATCGCTTGACTGCTGTCAACCCCTCGAGGTAGACCAGACCAGGAAATCTGCTGCATAAGGAAGCTAAAACCTCATTTATTGAGAATGACTAGAACAACACAAGTCAGACTTGGCTAGGCCTCATCCCCTTCTTATCATCTTCTTTTAATGACCCCATAATCTCTTGTGGGGTGCAGTCTGGGTAACTGAATGGAGCTAGCAGAGTGTTTACTGGTCAGATGCCCTTCCTGTCACCAGTGTGGAGTTTTGTTCAGCAGATACATTTTCATTGTGCAGAGAAAGAGAGAGAGAGAGAGAGAAATATCTGTCTCTACCTAGGATTGAACTCCTAGCCTCCTGGTTGTGAAGCAAGAGCTCCACCTCTAGGCCACTGTACCACTGCCTCACCTCCTTCTTCTATTCCAGTAAACTAGAGAAATGTCTGCTTGAGCCATTTCTGCATGTCATCTCTTTGTTTTAGGCTTTAAAAAAATGCTTCCATTCCTTAGAACAAGGGTGTCCAAACTTGGCAACTTTAAGACCTGTGATATAACAGTTTGCAAAGATCACACAGCAAATGTAGGTTTTAATTTACTTTTACTGAAGCTGCTGTAATTTTGAACCACTGTTAAATGGACAGTTGTAAGCCAAGGACTCCCTAGAGTTCTCACGGTTAGACATTCCTTAATTATCACTCTATAAAAAGCTTCAAAGCCTTCAAAGTTTAAACAGCCTTCGAAGTTACAAAGGTGCTTTTTTTTTTTCAAGAGGCAACTGGACATTCTGGTTTTTCTTTGAAGACGTTTCGCTTCTCATCCAAGAAGCTTCTTCAGCTCTGACTGGATGGTGGGGAAGGGAAGGACACAGACAAACCTCCAAGTGGCCTCAATGACCTTCTAAAAGGACGCAAATGACCAGCTGTCTGCAAGGAGTATAAATCCTTCCATTTCCCACCATCCTGTCAGAGTTGAAGAAGCTTCTTGGGTGAGAAGCAAAACGTCTTCAAAGAAAAAAAAACTAGAAAGTCCAGTTGCCTCTTGAAAAAGCACTTTTGGGACAACCATGACCTGGAGGACTGAGAATCTCTGTAGACCTTCAATGTTATAGTTTATGGCCCTTGTGGTTAGAAACATTAGTGTGGCCACATCCGCAATAAGTAGTGCTAATGGATGAAATGCAGGTACTAGTCAATGCGGGGGCCCTCTTGAGGACATCTTCACTCTATGAAATGGATGTCCTTTCAGGAGACTTGGAGGAATACCTCATCTCTCGAGCATCCGAAGAAGCCGGAGCCTTTAACGAGTACCACATAGCGGCAGCTTCTTTCCAAGAGACCTCGGACCAGATAGACGTCACCGCTCTTTTCAACAACCAAGCGTTTCATTCTCCTGCCACTGCGTTGCTGCTGGTGGACAATGCCTTGTTGAGGCTAATAGTGGGACCCAATGCCTCCATCACAGTGGCGAACTATCCGCAGCCTCGCAACATGACCGAGACAGCGAAGGACCAGCTCATGGAGTGAGTCCAAACTTCCTTTGTTTTTAATCTGTTTGCTTGCTTCGCGTATATCCCATCTGGCTTATGTACGCCCGTTCCTTATTTAGCAATCAAGTACCATTTCAAGGATCGGTATCAAGCAAGCTATCTCTGATTTCCCCATCCAGATCAATTGTAGTTCCACCAAAACTGAGATAAAATGTGTCAGGTAGCAATTTAAGAGCTGACCAGCTGATGCAATGATGTAACGATGGGAATGAGTCAGCAAGGTTTTGGGCTGTTATCCCTTTAAGAGCCTGTATAATAAAAAGAGGCCCTGTTAGGGCGTCTCTTTCTCTCTGTGTGTGTTCTTCCCTGCTGTAATTGCTGCTTGTTCGACCTCTGCCTAGAGTCCATGTATCTATAGTAGATATTCTTTTGTAGATAAAACCACTATTTATTATAAACCTCTGTTTGCTGTTATTGCTCCTGGGTTGTCTGACATAGTAAAGCTGACAAAATAGTTTCTGGACCTAACTTTTAAATGCAGTTTTCCAGCTAATGGTGCTTTGTCTTTGCAATATCCCGTAGAAGCCAGACAGGTTTTGCGATCGCCATTAACTTGCTTTACGGAATGGCCTCCTTATCCAGCACCTTTGCGCTCCTCCTGGTCAACGAGAGGGCCATCAAAGCCAAACACGTACAGTTTGTCAGCGGTGTTTACATGGTGAACTTCTGGCTCTCGGCGCTTCTATGGGACCTCATCAACTTCCTTACGCCTTGCACCCTCATTCTGGTGAGTCATTCCTGGATAGCCTGTGTCATGCAAGGAGCCCTGGGCGGCATAGTGGTTAGAATGCAGTATTGCAGGCTGGCTCTGTCCACTGCTCTCTGCCCTCATTTTACCCACCTCGGAAGGATGGAAGGCTGAGTCAATGTTGAGCCTGGAGAGAATTATACTGCCAAATTGCAGGTGGCCAGCAGGCAGCAGAAGTAGCCTGCAATGCTGCCTTCTAACCACTGTGCACCATAGAGGAAGAAAGGGAGGGAGGGAGGGAGGGAGGGAGGGAGGGAGGGAGGGAGGAAGGAAGGAAGGAAGGAAGGAAGGAAGGAAGGAAGGAAGGAAGGAAGGAAGGAAGGAGAAAAGGAAGAGCAATAGCAATAGCCCTTAGATTTTATGCTGCTTCACAGTGCTTTACAGCCCCCTCTAAGCGGTTTACAGAGTCAGCCTCTTGCCCCCCAACAATCTGGGTCCTCCTTTTACCCACCTCAGAAGGAGGGAAGGCTGAGTCAACCTTGAGCCTAGTGAGATTTGAACTGCCAAATTGCAGTCAGCCAGCAGTCAGCACAAGTAGACTGCAGTACTGCACTCCAACCACTGCGCCACCGTGGCTCATACCAAGTGAGCACATTAAATGATCCTTCTGAGTCTTAAACTGTAATAACCGTACTAATCATTTCTGTTGGTCTTTCTTCAGGTGATCTTCCAAGCCTTCGACATCAAAGCGTTCACTCAGGACAACCATCTCGTGGATATAATGCAGATATTTCTTCTGTATGGCTGGGCCATTATCCCTCTCATGTACCTCCTCAGCTTCCTCTTTTCTGTAGCAGCCACAGCCTACACCCGCCTCACCATCTTCAACATCTTCTCTGGCACAGCCACGTTCTTGGCGGTCGTCATCATGAGCATTCCCGGTAAAGCAATTTGGACTTCGTCGCTGTGGTTGAAACGTTTTCATGGCTTTGAGCCACCAAGGTTAACTTTGTTCTTCCCACCTGTCTTCTCTTCCAGAACTTGGAATGGTGGATCTTTCCAATATGTTGGATAAAATCTTTCTAATCCTACCCAACTACTGCTTGGGACAAAGTATCAGCAAGTTCTACCAGAATTACGAGTTCATTCAGTTCTGCACTTCTTCGTTCGAGTCGGTGCTCATCTGTAAAGTATTTAGTGAGTATCTTGGGCAGTTTTGAAGGAGACTATTTGGGACTCAGGGATGAAATGAAGGGTCCTTGGTGCTCTCTGAATTGGGTGGTTTTCTTTCAAATGACCCAACTAGGGAACATCATCAGTGCTAGAAGGGAATGGGGGATTTGTGGAGAGGAGGAGGTGGAGGAGAGAGGGAGTGGAGGAAGGATAGAGGAGGGAGGAGGAAGAGGAGGAGGAAGAGAATGACTGTGAGGTTCTTGGCGCTCTCTGAACACTGATGACGTTACCTACTTTGGGTA